GAGGCTGTGAGAGAGCTTTTTTTGAGAGATTTTTGCTATGGGGCATGTGCACTTGCCAGAGAGACAGAAAGAAAGTGCCTCACTGGGTGCAGCCGCCCGCAATCCCTTCTCCTCCATTCCCCTCTTGGGATCTTGGGCACGCACGCACATGCACCAGGCCTGAGTTTTAAGCTGCCAGGTCCTGGACTCAAACCACGATCTACTACATGGGAGTCCAGCAACATAACCATTACGCCAACAGCAGGTCCCGCCCACAGAGCTATTTCTTAAAAAATCACAATAAATGAACTGCCTAGGTCTGAGAAACACTCAGATTCTCTTTTATTTACTTTAGGTTGTTGTTATAGGGTGGGCACAAGCACTCTCTGGAGAGAGGGAGAGGAAAGAAAAGTGAAAAATCACTTCCTGGGGGGAAGACCACACCACAGTTCCTTCCCTCTGGTCTCCTCTTGGGTTTTAGGCAAGCACACACACACGCCCAGTGTGATTTTCAAGTCACTGGGTCCAGGACTCAAACCGCACTCAACCATGTGGGAGTCCAGAGCTTATGCCACTATATCACCTGCTGGCCTCCAATTCTCTTTTAAAATAGTGATATGGTTTAATGTACTATTATATGACAGGTAGCCAAATCAACAATGCAAAGACTGAAAATAAAGGGACATAGATTCATCAGAAAATACTAACAAAATGAAAGTTATACAGCTATATCAAGATCAGAAAAAAAATAGATTTTGAATAAAGTAAGCATTATTGGAGCTAAACTGCATAACGAGATTAGGCTTATACTCACCACTAGAATCCCCATGTTCTCCAATAATCCAACCATGACAGCTTGTGGCGTGAACACCCAACTTCTCTCCAATTAGATAACGAAAACGGGCAGAATCGAGATTACAACCACTTCCAATTACTCGAGTCACAGGTAGGCCACTTAACTTCCAGACCACATATGTCAAAATATCCACTAAGGAGAACAATTCCATGTTAGAAAAAGAAACATAATGGGGCCGGCAGGTGGCTGGTGGTTAAGGGTGCTGGATTCCCTCATGGCTGACTATAGTTCAAGTCCAAGAACTGGCGGCTTGCTTTCTCCTTTCCCTCTCTCTCTCTCTCTCTCTCACTCTGTCCCTCTCTGGTCAAATTAAAATAAATTAATTAATTAAATTAAATTTATAAAGAAACACAGTAACTTCTTTTCATAATTTGCTTTTATGACTAGATAGATGAATTTTATTAGAGTCAAATGCAGATTCATTATAGAGTTCAACATGACAATCAATAAAGAAATACAGACACATAGGCTTTTTTAAAAAACACTAAATTGTTTACTTCCAGAAATTTTTTAATTTTATTTTTTATATTTAATCACTGTGTATAATTACAGCATAACAAATTAATTTTCCCTTTATGAATACACTGCATATTGGTCCAGTCAAAGACACTGGCACACACATTATAATCAACAGATTTCTTTCCATTTGGGGTCCCTTAAATGTTTTGCTTCTTTTTTTTTTTTTTGAAGAGGTTTTTGCTATAGGGCGCGTGTGCTCGCCAGAAAGACAGAGACAGACAGAGAAACAGAAAGTGAGAAATCATCCCCCAGGAGGATGGCAACGCCGCAATCCTTTCTCCTCTATTCTCCTCTCAGGATCTTGGGCACGCATGCACACACTCCTGGCATGAGTTTCAGCCATCGGGTCTGGGACTTGAACAGCAGTTGACTACATGGGAGTCCAGCACCACAGCCATTATGCCAACTTCTGGTCCCATGTTTTGCTTCTTTTTTCTTCCCCTTGATCCCCTCACTCTCACCTTCCCTATACCTCCAAAATTAAAAAAAAAAAAAAAAATCCTCTCTTGAGATCCTATGTAAGCCTGTGTATTGAATAATCAGTCAATTCTGCCTCCTTAGATTTCTTCTCTTCGTTACTGCACCCTCATCTAAACTATCTGCACATCTTCCCCAGAAAAATGCCACTGCACACCCAGGGCATGTGCATTCTCAGGAAAACGATAAGACCCTCAGCTTTTGTTCTGTACCGACCTCGAGGCTCTGCGTGATAGAAAGTAAAAGCTGAGGGACAGCTGTAAACACCCCAATACACACACACCTCCAGCAAACACTAGGAGATATTTTTGGCTCCAGGCATTTAGGAGAAGCTGACCACTAAGCAAA